CACTGACTCCTACACACCCTGCACCCCACACTGTCATATACACTGCCTCTCATACACCCTGCCCCCCATGCTGACTCCCACACACTTTGTCACAAACAATGCCCCCTACACTGTCTCCCACACACTCTGCCCTCCTACACTGTCTCTCACACACTCTGCCCCCCTACACTTTCTCACACACTCTGCCCCCACACAGTTTCTCACACAAAATGCCCCCTACTGTCACACACACTGCCCCCTCCACTGTCACACACTGCCCCCACACTGTCACACACCCTGCTCCCCCACACTGTCTCACACACCATTCCCCCTACACTGTCGTACATACTGCTCCCTCATGCTGTCACACACCCTGCCCTCTCTACACTGTGTCCCACACATCTTCCCCTCCCACACTGTCACACACCCTGTCCCTCACACGGTTACACACTGTCACCATTCCACACTGCCACCCCACACTGTCATCTTCCTTCTCACTGTCACCCACTCACACCCTGCCCCATAAACTGTCACATTCCTCCACACTGCTCCCTTACCCTGTTAACCTTTCACACACTTGCACCCAATATTGTCAGCCCCCAACACTATGTCACCATTACATACAGTCACCCCTCCCACACACTGCCCCTGCACACACTGTCACCCTTTTCAACACTGCCTCCCACACTCTCACCTACCCACCGTCACAATTCCACACACATACAGCCACCCCCCACATGCTGTCATGCCCCCTTCACCGAGCCTCGCTCACATTAACCTCCTCTTAATCTTGTCGCTCTCACCCCCTCCATCCACACCACAACTACCGGCCCTCGCTCTTCCACACTCACCCTATCACATTAACCCCCCTAATCCTATCACACTCATCTTCTCTCATACTGTCACACTCACCCTCAACCCCATCACAACTCATCCTTTTTCACATTAACCCTTTCACTCGTGCCCAACCATGCCACACTCACCCTGTCACATAATCCTGTCTGGCTCACTTTTCCTCACCTTGTCACACTCCCTCCTCCAGCCGTGCAACACATAACCCATAACTCTGCCAAACTCATCCCCCTTCACCCTATCACATTATCCTGTCACTCTAGCCATACCACACTCACCCTGTCACATAACCATCCCTCATCCTGTCACTCTCACCTCATCTCGCCCTGTCACACTTTCTCCTTGACCGTGCCACACTCACCCCAACAGTGAATACAGAGACTAGCTCTCTGTATCCAGCGCTGCAAGCCTGTCATTCACTATAACTACAGCTCATTATACACAATGAGTTTTGCCTAAGGCCTCATAAAGTCTAGAGCCGCCACAGAGTTACATAACTTTTAATGCTCACATAAAAAAACAAATATGATGCTAAACAGCGTCAACGTTTCAGTCCCCGTTCGGGACTTTCCTCAGGACAGCCAGGGCCAGATTAACATAAGGGCTGATGGAGCTGCAGCTCCAGGCCCAGGCCCATGGAATAGGTCCATGTAAAAAAAAATAAAAAAATCTTTTTTTTACTTTTTTTTTTTTTAACACACTACTCTCAGGTTTGCCACCTGGCTGGTATTTTAATGGCACAGACGGTATTTGAGGCTGCCTGGCCGTGCCAGTATTGCAGTAATACCGGCAATACAAATGCAGGTATTTTTCTCAGTATAAACAGAGATTACTCTGCAATACCTGCACCGGCCAGTAGGGGTCACTGTGTGTGGAGAGAGGCAGGGATAGGAAGTTACAGCATATCCCTCCCTGCCTCTTTCTTCTCACTGATCCGTAAGGGAGCAGCTACACAGCACAGAGTTCAGACAGCAGCTCCCAGCCTACAGAGACAGCCTACAGCTCAGGGAAGTGAAGGATGGGGGGGAAAGGCAGCAGGGAAACATGGGGACACTGAGACACTAGGGGACACAGTGTCTCCATGTCTCCCAGCGTCCCCATGTCTCCCAGGCAGTGTCCCTAGTGTCTCAGTGTGCCCATGGCTCCCAATGTCCCCTAGTCTCCCAGTGTCTGTTTCCCCAAGTCTCTCAGGGTCCCTATGGCTCCCAGTGTCCCCAAATTTTTCAGTGTCCCCATGTCTATGTCCACAAGTGCCCCCATGTCTCCCAGTGTCCCCATGCCTCCCAGCCACTGTCCCTAGTGTCCCCATGTCTCCTAGTCTCCCAGTGTATGTTCCCATGTCTGTGTCCCCAAATATCTGTGTCCCCATGTCTCCCAGTGTCTGTGTCCCCATGTCTCTGTGTCCCCATTTCTCCCAGTGTCCCCATTTCTCTCAGAGTCCCCATGTCTCCCAGTGTCCCCAAGTATCTCAGTGTCCCCGAGTAGCCTAGTGACACGGGAAACACTGAGACATGGGGACACGGGGAGAAATGAGGACACAGACACTGGGAGACTAGGGGAGTGGGCGACATGGGGTCATTGACACTGTGATACATAGGGACACTGATGCCTGACTGGCCTTCCAGTTCTTTGGATAGACATGCCCCCTTTTTGGGCATGTTCGCCACTTTTGGCAGTTCTGGTCATGTGATTCGCATCAGTGGCTCACCCTTTTACCCCGCCTATTGACTTCCTGCTTCACTGGACACTGCTATTAGGGGGTATGGATTTACTTGAAAGATAAAAGCATAAATTAGAGAGAGATTAGCATAGGGTATGTGTTTTCTTATAGCTGCATCCTATGAGTTTCCCTCCAACACCATCTCCATCAGATACATGACACTTGGTAGTGTTTTTGATTGATAAGATTCTGTAATTATACCCATCATAATTGTCAGCACCAGGCCCACTGTGCTCTTAATCTGGCCCTGAGGACAGCCTGCTGTCCCGAACAGGGACTGTAACGTTGACGCTGTTTAGCATCATATTTTTTTTTTATGTGAGCATTAAAAGTTATGTTACTCTAAGACCGAAAGTGCAGACCATCTCTACGGCTTTTTGTATTCAAGTGACCACGGTCTGGCACCTGACATCTACATTTATACTTGCAACCAGCCTGTGTGCAGGGATTTTTGGGAGATCGATATAGATATTTAGATATATGTGTGTATGTATATATGTCTGGAAAGTGGCCTGAGACAGACAGTTGTCAGGAAGAGCGAGAGTTGAAAAAGTTGTGGTCCAGACACTCAAGGGTTAATTTTGCAGCCGATTTTATTGGGAAAAGTGCAACGTTTCGATCTCCAAGATATATTTCTCAAGTTCAGCTGGACCACAACTTTTTCAACTATTACGGTGGGGATAGCCAGCCCTGGGTCTGGTAGCACCAGGATCCCAGCAAGAGTGCGGTATTCCTTCTTTCTTCTTAATACAGGGAGATTGAAAGTGACCTGAGACAGACAGACACAAATCAGAGAGAGAGAGACCTGAGACAGACAGACACAAATCAGAGAGAGAGACCTGAGACAGACAGACACATGTCAGAGAGAGAGAGTGACCTGAGACAGACAGACACATGTCAGAGAAAGAGAGAGTGACCTGAGACAGACAGACACATGTCAGAGAGAGAGAGTGACCTGAGACAGACAGACACATGTCAGAGAGTGACCTGAGACAGACATGTCAGAAAGAGAGAGTGACCTGAGACAGACAGACACATGTCAGAGAGAGAGACCTGAGACAGACAGACACGTCAGAGAGAGAGTGACCTGAGACACACAGACACATGTCAGAGAGAGAGAGTGACCTGAGACAGACAGACAGACACATGTCAGAGAGAGTGACCTGAGACAGACACATGTCACCTGAGACATGTCAGAGAGAGACCTGAGACAGACAGACACATGTCAGAGAGAGAGTGACCTGAGACAGACAGGCACATGTCAGAGAGAGAGAGGGACCTGAGACAGACAGACACATGTCAGAGAGAGAGTGACCTGAGACAGACAGACACATGTCAGAGAGAGAGAGACATGAGACAGACAGACACATGTCAGAGAGAGAGAGACCTGAGACAGACAGACACATGTCAGAGAGAGAGACCTGAGACAGACAGACACATGTCAGAGAGAGAGTGACCTGAGACAGACAGACACATGTCAGAGAGAGAGAGACCTGAGACAGGACAGACACATGTCAGAGAGAGAGACCTGAGACAGACAGACACATGTCAGAGAGAGAGAGAGACCTGAGACAGACAGACACATGTCAGAGAGAGAGAGAGACCTGAGACAGACAGACACATGTCAGAGAGAGAGAGAGACCTGAGACAGATGTCAATGAGAGAGTTTAGACAGACAGATAGGTCAGTGATACAGTGTAGAATAAAATAGGATTCCGATGCCAAGCTCGCCCTCTGTCCACATAAGATACAGTCATAGATTCTCTTCCCTACTATACTCACCAGAATAGACGCCTGACACCCCAACAATGAGCAGCAGGAACACGGGACCCATTGTGTCCCCAGCGCAGTGATTCATAGACAGCTAAAAACTCTCAGCCTGGACTGTGCTGGGAGGGGGGAGCTCTGTATATATAGAGGGAGAAGGAGCTTTGTGCTGATTGGATGCAGCTTCACCATCTGTCCAATGGGAAAATTAATACCCAGCAGATCAGCTGTTACCAGGCAGAGGAGAGAGTTACAGGTTAGGAATATAGAAAGTGATAGTGAAAGTGAAAGAATAATTGGTTGTATAGGGCAGTGATGGCGAACCTTTTTGAGCCCGAGTGCCCAAACCGCAATACATACCAACTTTTTTTTTCCTCAAAGTGCCAACACGGCAATTAAACCTGAATACTGAGGTTTAAGTTTAAAGAAAAACAACTCGTACAATTGTGCGAACTAGTTAGCATCTTTTGTTTTAAAAGAACACACCAGAGAGTTCAATGATACTAATTTAAAATAATGATATAAATAGATAAAATTAAGTTTATATTTATTAGTATCTCCAAAAAATGCAATACATACACTGACCGACACACAGACAGACTGCTAAATACACACACACACAGTCCGCTGAATACACACACACACACACAGTCTGCTGAATACACACACACACACACACACACAGTCCACTGAATACACACACACTGCTGAATACACATACACATACACTGCATTGAGGGGTGCAGTGTATGCGTAAGGGTGTGGAGTGCTGTGTGTGAGGGGTGCTGTGTGTGTGGGGGGGGTAGGGGTGATGTGTGGGGGGGTTGAAGATACATTATAACTTTTTTAAAGCATGTGTGGGGGTAGGGTTGCTGTGTGGGGTGGGGGTGCTGTGGGGGGTGATGTGCGTGTGTGTGTGGGGGGTTAGGGGTGATGTGTGTGTTTGGGGCAGGGTGATGTGTGTGTAGGGGTGAAGTGTGTAATGGGTAGGGGTGATGTGTGTGGAGGGTAGGGTGCTGTGTGGGGGCTGAAGATACATTATAACTTTTTAAAGCATGTGTGGGGTAGGGGCTGCTGTGTGGGGGGGGGTAGGTGCTGTGTGGGGGGTAGGGGTGATGTGTGTGTGGGGGCAAGATGTGTGTGCAGTGGGGGTTAGGGGTGATGTGTGTGTTTGGGGGTAGGGGTGATGTGTGTGTTTGGGGGTAGGGTGATGTGTGGGGGTTAGGGGTTGCGTGTGTATAGGGGGTGATGTGTGTGTTTGGGGGTAGGGGTGATGTGTGGCTGCAGGGGTGAAGTGGGGCGGGGTAGGGTGAGGTGTGTGTGGGGTATGGGTTATGTGTGTGTGGGGGGTAGGGTGATGTGTGTGTGTGGGGGGGTAGGGGTGATGTGTGTGTGTGTGGGGGGTAGGGAGATGTGTGTGTGTGGGGGGTAGGGATCTAAGGGTGTGTGTGTGGGGGTAGGGGTGATGTGTGTGTAGTAGGGTGCTATGTGTGGGGGGGTAGGGGTGCTGTGTGTGGGGGGGTAGGGTGCTGTGTGGGGAGTGGGGGTGGGCATGCGTGTGTGTGGGGGGCAGACCCATGTGTGTGTGGGGTAGGGACTATGTGTGTGTGTGGGGGGAGGGGTGATGTGTGTGTGGGGGGTAGGGTGCTGTGTGTGGGGTAGGGTGCAGGGTAGGGTGCTGTGTGGGGGGAGTGGGGGGTAGGGACTATGGTGTGCGTGGGGGGTAGGGACCATGTGTGTGGGGGGGTAGGGGTGATGTGTGTGTGTGGGGGTAGGGTGCGTGTAGGGGGGTAGGGGTGCTGTGTGTGGGGGGGGTAGGGGTGCTGTGTGGGGGAGTGGGGGTTGAAGATACATTAAAACATTTTTTTTATTTTTTAAAGCAATATTAAGTCAGTATACCCCCCCCCTTTGGTGAAGGGGAGGGGGGGAACACAGCCATCCCTGGTGGTCCAGTGGTGGTAAGTATCTAGGACAGGTCCTGCAGCTCTCCTGTCCTCCCACGCGATGCTGCGTGGAGCGTTGCCATGGTAATGTGCGGCAATGCTCCACACAGTTCGCGGGAGGACAGGAGATCTGCTTTCTCAATCCCTCCCCCCTGCTCCCGGTCCTGCCGACACGGAAGCAGAGTAGGCGCCTGACGTTTTGGGCAGGCAGGTGCCTACTCTGCATTGATGGTGAACCTATGGCCGCGTGCCCACAGAGAGGGCCCAGCGTGCCACAGGTTCGCCATCACTGGTATAGGGGTAGGAAGCAGTGTGGTGTGGAGGGTCCTCTATCGCCATTCTCAGTTTGTTCCATGCTATCCAGCATCCAGGACCAGTGCCAAGAATTGTACCACTCTAGGCAAAATATATATACCCCCATATGCACTGCCCTCATTTACAGAAGTTTGTTTTAATTATGATTATGTATTATTACTATTGGCATTTTTAAAGCACCAACATATTCCACAAAGCTGAACAATTGGGGGGAAAAGACAGGACAATGTACACTGACTAAAACAAAAAGGAACAGGAACCCTAGCAGAACAATTATAAAGAATATAGACAAACAACAAACACAAACTGATACTAAAGTAACAGAAGGATTGGCCCATGAGCTTACAGTGTAGCAATTACAGTATTTCTATACAAAGTGCTTAGCAAGATGACTTGTGAGCCTAATTAAAAAAGTTATAATGGGAATTTGAGACATGAGCTAGCAGGAAGTGTTTGATAACCAGAAACTTGTGGAAATATGTAATACTGGGTAATCTGTGAGGCAGTTAAATAGTTAAGATTAGAGGCAGCTGAACGGAAAATAATCCACAATTTGTTTTAATACTTTTAACTATCAAAAATGCTTGTTTTACTTCTATATCGTTGTGGAGTGTAAGAGTGTCAGTAGGGGAATACTCCCATCGGGGCGCTCCGAACCAGGAGGGCTATCTCCCAAACAATCCAACTGGAACAAAAACCATACATCTGGACACACCCAATGGTATCTCAATAACAGGCAGTCTTTTATTTGGACCCAATGGTATCTCAATAACAGGCAGTCTTTTATTTGGACCCAATGGTATCTCAATAACAGGCAGTCTTTTATTTGGACCCAATGGTATCTCAATAACAGGCAGTCTTTTATTTGGACCCAATGGTATCTAAATAGCAGGCAGTCTTTTATTAAGAGTTCAGAGGAAGACATGTTTCTACATTATCCCCATACCCTCTGACACATACATACAGACACACACACATACACACAGACAGACACACACACATACATACATACACCCCCCGACAGACACATACATACAAACACACATATATACACAGACACATACATACACACACACACACACACATAAAGAGACACAGACACACACATACAGACATACACACACATACAGAGAGACACACACACAAAGACACAGACACACACACACATACAGAGACATACATATACAAAATGTTTCCTACCTTGTGTGACTTTCCCTGGGGTCCAGTGGGGGCTGAGCCTGATGGGAGTCAGAGTTCCCACTCTGACTCCTTCTTCTTTCCTCCCGCGCGGGCTCTAATTTTTAAAAATCGCTTTTTTTGGTTTGAAGGGGATTTTTATTTTTATTTGCAGAGGCGATGGGGACCAAGTTCGCACCCAGTTAGGCCAATTTATTTATGTTGTAGTGGGAAACATTATTTGTTTTCTCTGAACATGACTGGGTAGCGAACTTGATCCTCTATAAGCGGTTCATTGATGATATATTTTTTATTTGGAAGGTAAACCGTGCCTCTCTAGATTTTTATTTTTATTTTTTATTTTTTTTTAAATTAAACATTAACTCCTGGGGGATAAAATTTATGTGTGAAATTAGTACCCTGGAAGTTCATTTTTTTTAAATGTAAAGTTTTTATAGAGTCCAATTTAATTTGAACCTGTACTTATTTTAAAATAGTAATGTTAATATTGATTTTTTAAAAAGTTGGGGACGTGGCTGACCGCTGAACAATAAGAAATTGCTCCGGTACTGAGCTCCATAAAAAAACATGCAAAACAAGCTGCAAACAATGCTGACTAACCTTAACGGTGAGATGTCACACCAGAAAACAAAGAAATCAACGTCTACGGCAGAAAGACTTTATTTTTTTTGGCCAAAAGGGTCCCGCGGCGCATTAGACCATGCTGCCCGAGCTCCAAGATGGCGACGCACACTCAGATGCAAGTCTCTCGACTCCCACAACGGAGCAAATTCCCGCCATAAATACTACAAACATCACCAAGGAATTCCTGGCACAGGCCCTCGACTCACTGTCTAACAAGCCAATAGCCTCCTGGCAGCACACAGCGGATGCTTTCAGAAAGGAGGTACAAGAGCTGGGCACCCGTACGTCCCATGTGGAAAACAAGATGGATGAATATGCTACTGCACACAATGATATGGCCAACCATGTCCAGAGCCTGGAACACAAAATGGAGCTCCTGGAAACCAGTATGGCAGACTCAGAGGACAGGCCAAGAAGGAACAACCTGCGGCTGCGTTGGGTGCCGGAGTCCGTATTACACATGGACTTGCAAGCCTACACATGAGGCCTACATCGGGGCCTACGCATCAGATATACAAGCAGATATGCTCTTAATCGATCAGGTGCATCGTGTCCCTAAACCACGATATATACCATATTCAGGAAATTGTCTTAAGAGCCTGTCGCAATAAAAATACGCCTCATGAGGATTACCCTACCGTCAGGATTTTTGCAGGTCTCTCCGTGGCAATGCTGAAATTCAGGAAACGCTTTCAAGCAGTGGTAGATGCTCTACCACATTACGGGATTTGGTACTGCTGGGGATACCCGACCAAGCTGCTGGTCCAACAAGGAGGCATAAAGTCAATTTTTACCCCAGAAGTGGGACTAACCAAATTAACAGAATAGAGAAAACCGCTTTAGAAAGATACAGCAGAGCCAATCCCGCCAAGAAAATTAAACCCAGAAGGGCGCAAAGCGCAATAATGACTAATATAGCAGCAAAGATTTTGATTAGCCACAAGTATCGCACATATCCTTATTAAGTTTAATGTTTATTGTTAAACCACGTTACAATGATTTTATAATTCCTAAAAAAACAAAACAGGGTACCAAAACCTAAGCTATAGTACCCCTGACATACAAAGGTTACTATGTTAGTCGATCCCGTGAGACTTTGCTAAACAATATAAACCTCCACTACAAAGCTG